ATTAATCTTTAATCACTCCTCTGAGTAGATGACGACAAGACTGGCAGGAAGTCGACCCAGAATATTGGAGTCATGTGCTGGGGGTGATTGGTATAGATACCTCATGATGGCTGATAGGGGGGAGATCTTTAGATCCTTCTGTAATATTTCTGTTTCATAATTCACGTGGTGAATCCACAGCTTATGGGGGCCTGTTTCACAAGACAGAGACCTTACATGTTCGACCGATATATCGCCAAGGCCGATATGTCGACCGATATTTGGCATTTTTTCAAATATTGGCCACTGCCGATAAGTTTTTCTGTTTGGCCGATGCGTTCGAGGCGGGACTTTTATTTTGAGAGCGACAGCGCCTGAGCACACAGTGCTCACATTCTCCCTCTTGTTCGCCGTCATCTTAATACAGATAGAAGTCTGTCTAATAATCCGATAGAGGTGTTAAACAAAGGAATTAAAATGTAGGCCTATACAAAAAGTATTATAACGATTGCTTTTTTACTATTAGTAATAGAAAGGCAAACATTATAATACTTTCTCGTTTGCCGTCAGCATTCAGAAAATACGCATTTACATCATTTAAACAAATCTTTGAATGGCTAATGAAAATTTAATTTCACAAACCTTGCAAACTTAGTCGAATCCAGTTGTGAGATCTTGTGAAGTGTGCATGTGTATCCTGCACGATCGCGTGTTCTCTGCGTGACTTTTTTAACATTATAATACTTTCTCGTTTGCCGTCAGCATTCAGAAAATACGCATTTACATCATTTAAACAAATCTTTGAATGGCTAATGAAAATTTAATTTCACAAACCTTGCAAACTTAGTCGAATCCAGTTGTGAGATCTTGTGAAGTGTGCATGTGTATCTTGCACGATCGCGTGTTCTCTGCGTGACTTTTTCGGTACGTGCAAATCGAAAAATACTTTGTCATCTAAAGTATAAGTATGTTTATTTTACAAATTTATTTTTGAATCCATTTTCAAATGATTTCAAATTTCTTAAATATTAATTCAAATAAATACAATTATATCAGCTTTATATCGGCCATCGGCCACCCTGCTTTCCAAGATATTGGCATCGGCTGTAAAAAAACTAATATCGACCATTAATTTTTATTCAGGGTGCATGAAATTTAGAGTTAATACATTTATAAAAGATATATATATATTTCAAATAAATGCTGTTTTAAAAAAAAATCTAAATAACATATCATGGTTTCCACAAAAATATTCTTTTGTAAACTGTTTTTAACATAGATAATAAGAAATGTTTTTTGAGCATCAATCATGTGACATTGAAGACTGGAGTAATGGCTGCTGAAAATTCAACTTTGCCATCAGAGGAATAAATGATGGTATAGTGTATGTAACAAATGTGCAAGAGACAGGTAATATGTAGAATTTTGTGAATGAAGGGCATAGTAAGGGAAATCTCTCACACACACACACACACGCACTCATTCATTCCCTGTGTCTGGTTATAACCTTGGTTTTTTGCAGTCTTTAAAAATGTTTTTAGTATATCCCTATTCAGCCAACACAATTTCCTCTAAATCTTTGTGTGTGCGGCTGTGTGGGAGGATGTGGGCTTGTTTCAATAGGTCACATTGCATTGTCTATATGTTTTTCTACTGCTCTCTTTTTTTCGTTTAGCCTGTAAAAAAGCCTTACTGATAGCTATGATTATTCTTGGTCATAGATGTGAAACAGAATGACATGCTGTTGTTGTGCTGATATTTCACAAACCCTGCATATTACTGGTTGTGAAATTTTTTTTCTCTATAACTGAAATACTAGGAGCAAACAGTTCTGAGAAAGTGCTCCTTCTGATGTATTATCGTTTCCTCAGTCCCCCTGACAGCACACTGAAGTGTCTGCTTTCCTCCGCTGCCATGGCTTCCACACCTCCACCTCTCATGAAGAAGCACAGTCAGACTGATCTTGTGAGTCGCCTCAAGTCCCGAAAGGTCCTGGGTGTTGGTGGGGAGGATGATGATGGAGAGGTGCACAGGTCAAAGGTAACATCCCACTTGTCTGCACCTGCATTCATATTTGACCTCAATAGCAGTTATTCATGAAAGAAAATTTTTTTTCTTCATATTTTGAGATTGTTTCCTACATCGAAATATTCTAGTAGCTTTTTTGATTGTGTCTAATGTCTTTCTGGGGTTTAGTGCAACTTGAAGTGTATGCATTGATATTAATAATAATAACTATAGCTGCAAGCAGTAATTATTCGGGCTAAGCACTACAGAAGCAAGCAAGGCATCAAGCATCAGACCAACTGCAGCAGTGAGTAATTGAAGCCGTTTTAAGATGATTTTAGTCAAAATGGCTCAAAAATCATAAACACAACCACTAGTAAATTGATTTAATGGGTTATCACTTTTGCCCAAATAGGTGGTGCTGTTATTAAATCGATGTGGTGTGTTCTGTGTGAGGTGACAATGCACACACAAAGTTTGATGTCAATATGTCAAAGCTTTGCAGAGATACATCCAGTCATTTTGGCATCATGCCTCAAATATGTTGCTGCGCTATACAAAAATGGTTTTGTCTATCGACACGAAATCCATAACTTTTTGTCAGCACAGTCTGAAGATGATCTGACTCGAATTTGATGAAAATCAGAGATGCGGTCTAAGAGGAGTTTGAAAAAGTATAGGTTTTTAAAGAAAATCAAAATGGCAGACAGGACGTTCATCCAACTACCAAAATTGGTATCCCTGTTCTCGGCATGACCCAAAGAATATATTGAGACGGTTACAATTTGTTTCATTACAATAGGCTAATATAAAAGTTATTAGCTTTTTTTGGAAATTTCTTTATAACTTTTGACCACAAGCTGCCCCGAAACTTTATGAGTACCATCAGGGCAGGGTGCCGAAGACACATACAGAGTTTTGTAACGATACACGATACTATTTGAGAACGGTTTGACTAATGTACTTCAATTCTATAACTTTTTGCCAGCATAGTCTGAAGATGTTCTGAGCCAATTTTGGTGAAAATCAGACAAACCATCTAGGACGAGTTTGAAAAAGTAGTTTTTTTGAATTATTAAAAATTCTCGCAGTCGTATGGATTCAGAAGATTTGGATTACAGTGCACAAACAGTTTCATTTCGTAATTATGTTGCGTTTTTGGTGTATTTTATAATTCTATTGTCAGTCACAGCATGTCGGAGAAAACGCCTTTTGTGGCCCATGGCAAACAAAGTAAACATTACATGACAAGTAAAGGTTAAACGATTGCAGAAATTTTATTTATTTTAAGGTTTAAAGTGAAGTCTTGTTTAACATTATGTAGG